GTGCTCCTCAGCTTTCAAATATTTGAATGTATTAGGTCAAAAAGCGTAAATAAGCATACATAGAACCGGTAGTGAATTTAAGTGGAATAAAGAGTATTTTGACAAAAAAAATATCACACCCATCTTCATCAGTGTGAGCATCAGTTTGCAGGAAAAACTAGGGATGGGTGTGAGAGAAGGCTTTGCCAATACCCATACCCACATCCTATTTATGCATTGACAATCAGACATGTGTTTTTCAATGAGATAGATTTGATGTCAATTCAGCAAACTGAAACATTTCAATCAGTATCAACTAAAAATAAAATTAAAAATTTAACTATTGTGTCAGAATGTATGGATGGAAGAATTAAATCATTCATTCATTCATCTTTGTCCTCGATTAGAATATCTTGCAATGCATGCGCCAGCTGGTGATTTTGAAAAGACTGTACGGTACCTTTTATTGGTAGATAACGTTAATACCCACCATTTATTCTGGTTATATATCACAGATGTGTGTGAAAATCAAATTGAAAGAATGAAAACTTTAATTGAATCCGAACGATTGCTCAATGATTATCGAATGAAAAACGTTTCACAGGTTTTTTTTCTAACAGTATTTACTTGTGGTGGTAATAATTATTCTTAATTAAATATGAACTTCTGGCATTTTTTCATTTTAAAATAAACATGAAGAGTATTGTTGATAGAATTTGTTGTGAGTGACTATCGACTAATGAAAAAGTTTAGCGATACAGATTAAATTATATGATGGACAATGTTTAGCAAATTCGTATACATCAATTTTTTGTTATATACTTTCCCGTAGAATATGAATCATGTTGCAAGGATCTATTTTTGCTTGTCTCATGATAAAAGAACTCAAGGCGAGAATAATGAATAGGATATATCTCTTAAATCGTTCATAGAGTGACATATCTGACCACTGAAAGCTAATCAAATATTCCACGACTCTCGTCTTATTTATATGGAAAAACAGTACTACTAAATATTTAGATACATTTTGAGTAAATAATAAAAGCAAAATCTTATTTCTTTAGTTATTTTGTAATAGGAAGAACGATGGCAATTTTTCTCAGTAAACATAAAAAATATGTGCTGCAGATCAAGTCGCTTTGTGTGTTGTGTTTATATTCGACAGAATAGCTTTCATATTAACTATATTCATTTTTTCTTCAGAGAATATACATAAATTCAACACGGAATGCATCAAACGATCACGAAGTAACGACATTACGTATTTTGCAAATACATATATATATATATAAGAAATACATTTAAAAACAAAAAAAGAGTACAGAATAGTCATCTTTTCTTTCTTTGAAGTGTTTTCCTATGTTTTCTAATAATAGAAAAAACTATGACTCATATTATAATTTATCTTGTATAAACATAAAAAACGTGTGCATGAGTTTAATGTTTTTTCTTCGTTATAGCTTTGTTTTTTTGTACGTTTTACGAGTTCGGTCGACATTGGAAGAAAGAAATTATTTCTTTACCTATTTATTCTCATTTTCTTCGTCTTTTTCAGACATCACGTGTAACTTTGATATGGAATATAGAAAACAATCAGGAAGTGACTATATTCATATTCATGACGATAGCGAAAGCAAACAAATAAATGGTAAGCTTTAATCAAATTTGTGCATCAAGTTCTTTTCTTTTTTCAGAAACAACAATTGATTCAGACAAGTTAGTTATTACAGAGTAGTCTTTAAAAAATATTTTCTCTTTTCAGTTCCCATACCAAATATGGCACTCATTTTGAAGATCTTTCAAACGAAGTCATTTATGAAATTTTTGTTCTCCTTGATTTCTGCCATGTCTATGAAGCCTTCGCTAATCTTAATATACGCTTTCAAAACCTTCTTACTAGTTCAACTCTTCCTATTAATATTAATATGTCATCCATGTCGAAAGCAGATTTTCAACATTATTACATAAATACTGTCAAACCTAATAAACATCGAATTAAATCTCTTTATTTATCAACTCCATTTTCAATTGATCGGTTATTTATACAAGATTGCATTGTGTCAAAATTGACTCGACTTGAAACTCTTATTATAAATAAGATTCAATCGAAAGATCTTGAAAATCTTCTCACTTATTTAGTCTCTCTACCTTATCTATCTTCATTGATCATTGCTTGTATTGGGTCAGGACAAAATAGAAATAAGATATGTCGTCAAATATTCCGTTTATCCGCTTTAAAATATTGTAAAATGTCATTGGACACTCTGAATGATTCTGAACCACTATCTGTAGCAACTAATGAATTCAGTCCTATCGAGCATCTTATTATCAAGTATTGCTTGAAAATACCTGAGTTGTATGCTGTTTTATCATACGTTCCTCAAATTCGTTATTTCTCTAGTAACGGTCTATATGGATCTTCTGATAAACAAATAACTCCATGTTCAATTAAACTAAATCATTTGACACATGCATCTCTGAAGATAAGTATTACTTTTCGTCAATTTGAATCATTAACCAAAAACCTTCTCCTTCAACTTCAAGCCTTATATATTACGATCAGGTATGAGGAATCATATTTAGATGCAAACAGATGGGAAAAGTTAATTTTGTCTTATATGCTACATTTACAAATCATTGACATTCAATGTGTACTTAATATACGTGATACAAATTCCTTGAGGTATACTATTATGATGAATCGGTTTCATTCTAAGTTTTGGTTCGAACGACAATGGTTCTTTACATCTTATGTTCACTCGACGTTACACGATTGTATACTAATTTTTCATTCTACAAGTCCATACAGGTATAACAAAAAAAACTGATATTTCTATATGATATATATAAGTTATTTCTATTTTAAAGGAGAAAATTCTACACATTATATGAAAATGCATCCAAAAGTATCTTCTCAAGTTCTCAAAAAAATATCATAGATTCAGTTCTTCATCTTCACTTCGTAAAGGAACAATCGATGAATGATTATATACACTATTTTCCAAATGCCACTGAACTCACTCTCTCTTGTAAGGCTAATTATGGATATGAAAATAATTTTTCGATTATTCTCAATCGTATTGTTCCTTTACAACAGCTCACCAAATTAAATATCAGAATTAACTCTTTTAGCTTTAAAACAATGATTAGCCTATTATGTTCAGCACCTAATATTGTTACCTTAATACTTGGGCATATATATTATGATAACAAAGATTTAATGTCAATTCAACAAGCTGAAACATTTCAACTGGAGTCATCCAGAAGCAATATTAAAGATCTGACTATTACATCAATTGGTACGCTTGAGGAAATACAATTACTCATTCATGTTTGTCCTCGATTACGGTGTCTAACAATGGATGCATGGGATAGTAACTTTGAAGGCATTTTACGATATCTTCTATCGAAAGATAATGAGTATACTCGAGATTTATTCTCATTATGTCTCACAAATGTATTGAGAGACGAAGTTGAAATAATGAAGACTCTTATAGAATCAAAGAAAATTCTCGATGATTATCTGATGAAAACAGTAACACGTATTGTGTCCGCAGATATTTATCTATGGTGGTGAGAATTATTATTAATCAAGCATTAAATTCTTAGATACCTTTTATTTTTAAATAAACAAGAAAATTGCTGTCAATACTTTTGGTGGTCCAAAAATTCTGACTACAATATCTAAGGAACTTTGTCAGATAAGGTGATCTATTCAAAAATGAAAAATGAAATACACCATGTTGTAGAGCTTTCTGAGGCGCGCCGAATGGTGTATAATACATACTAATTTCACAAAACTTGGAAGGAACTAGCATCAATTTGGGTGTGGGTATGGGTGTGGATTTAAACAAAAACTTCAGACACCCACACCCTCATTTTTTCAAACATTTTCAATGTATTTATAGTAATTATATGTCGATAGTATAGAACATTTTTTACTAGAATATTTCTCTATGAATACTCTCACTTTTAATATTCAACTCGTTGAAGTCTTTCGATATTTTTTAATTCATTTTTATCGTAAGATTTCGTTTGGAATCATTATTGAGTCATTGTTAATAATGATAGATTATAGATATCTTTTCCATTGACATATTGATTATTCGTCAAAATATTATAAGCTCTAAGTTTTTCACTCATTATCAAGGACTTGAGAGCCTGTTCTATACTTATCTTAAATGATTTTCGTATTCATTTTTGTTATTTGTGTAACTAAAATTTAATTGCCAGAAAGATACATCTAAAATTATTAGATGATTCATAGTATAGTTAAGACTTTTATTGATAAATTAAAAAGTACAAAATATAAATAAACATCTGAGAACGAGAAAAGAAGTGTTGAACAACTCGATGTCGAGATTTTTTTGCTTCCTACATTGTTCAAGTCATGATTTATGGAACCAACTATCAATGAGGATTCTATGCTTCTATATATAATGTTTAAGTTTATATTATTACATATAGTATTCGTTTTTACGCGTTAGATATTCATCGTCAAATATGTTATTCATGTTCATGCAAGTGTTGACTTTTAACGGAAATCATCTCGTTACTTAATGTTAAATATACTTGGGACATACCAAAACTAATGACATTTCGAAGAAAAATATTTAGAAAGAAGTTAATCAAAATTAATTGTAATATCTTCATACTTGAGATAGTTATAAGCGTCTTTTCGAACATGTAATTTGGCATTATTGTGGTAGAGTTTAACGGCATGTGTATTAAATCTTGATCTTTGTTTCCTAGTTTGTTGGCAAGGGATTGTAAACAGTTAATGATATCCCAAACATGACGGATGGATAAGTATAGTGTAATCGACATAGTACATTAAATATGATTAATTCACCCACAAAAACATAATCCTCGACACGATTTTGAATGAATCAGATTTCGTATCCAAAATTGGATGTTAATCTAAATTTCTCTTTTCTTCCTCTGCATTCAAGTTTTCTCAAAACCCATTCTCATTCATCTATTCAAAAAAATCTCTTTATTTCTTTTATTCAATTATTTTTTTAAAAATGCATGATACTACAATTTGGATCTGTTATTTCATGTGGACAATAATCAGGCACATCAAAAATGCCTTTTGGTAATAAATCAGGATTTTCTGAGTAATATGAAAAGTCAGCATGCATAGCATTTAACCATCCAAGACGACATGGTACACCAGTTGCAACTGATGTTAACCATGAGAACGTTGCAACATCGGGTACATCTTTTGTCCATGAATGACACGAATGTTCCATGACGGTGATAATCCCATCATAAGTAGTGTCATTACCAATTTGTAACCAATCTATGGAAGAAAATAAAACAATCTCAGGATGAAATTCATCACATTTTGACTTATAAAAATCTGATCTAATGTCATTTTAAATAATTCTAAAGGATTGGAAATCCAAAAGATTCAAAAGTCAAAAACTAAAAATTTCTCCGTATATCTTTAGAGTCTAATTTTTGTACGGTTTTACTATTTATTTTTACCTGGTCTTGGTGGTGTTACACCTGTTTGCTGCGGATCAATACAACATGTTCGATTTGCACGTTCCAATCGCCAAACTGTAGTTCCATTATGCATGATTGTATATGTATAAGAGTCTTCTCTCATCATGTTCATAACTTGTGCTGGTCGAGTCCAATCATAAAAAATTTGTGTACTTACTGTTTGATTATTAAATAAATAATGTGCACTACCAGTTGCCATCCAGACCGAAGGCCATCGTGGTGGAGAAGGTGTCACAGATAGAGCGGCCGTGTTACTGTGAAGTGTAAAGAATAAAACGAGTAAGACTTTACGAAACATACTGACTATGTGAAAAATAGTAAAAAAAAGATCGCGTTTTATATATCTTTTTGATAAAAATATTTGCAAACAAAAGAATTAAAATGAGTAAACCTACATGACACATATTCTTATCTTAAATTAGTTTATATGTTATCATATTTGCAGTTTGTTATCGTTCGTCTTTATTTATGATTCATAATAGTTGAAATGTTATTTGATGAAGATCTTTATGGGTTGATTGTTATTGAAATCGTCTATGCATACAACTTTGTATTTGTTAGAAATAAATAAGATCCTCGGTGTCAAATGTATGATTGGTGATAACAAAGAAATACAATAACGATTTCTACGTAGTTTATAACCAAAGATTGTTGATCGAAAAATAGTATCGATTGAAATCTATTTGAGTAGCTATTCTATTTGAAATAAATTGATCTATACAGAAAAATGAAGTTTAGTGAAAAAAGCTGTGTCACACAATTCTTATGGAATTAAAATGTGAAACACAATGGAGCTGCTTGCATCGTAAATTAGCGAATTTACTAACGTGTATGTCACGGTCCGTGATGATTCTACCCTTATACTTCAACACTCCTTTTAGATCGTGTTTCACAGAAAGGAGTATACATGATAAAGATGATCATATATCTTCGAATATCTGCAACACCTACATTTCATTTTGAAATCGAATCGTTTTTTTTCTTTAAAATTCAAGTTGAAGTCAAATAGACCATTGTATACCTACGAAATCTTATTTTCGATTGGATAAAAAGGTCTGATACAAAACTCTTCATACGGAACCAAAAAAGAATCTTCCTATGTGTCCAGAGGAAGATCCTTGTTTGGTTTTGTAAAATACCGGTTTTTTTTACAGTGAAGTCGCTCAATGGACATCTTTTGCTAGAGGAGTCGTCGCCAAATCTTCACAGATTGCTGTGGCAAGAAGACAGTGTACGAATAATGTGCCTGCACAGATCGAAACGATTTACTCCACGCGTCAATGTACTTAATCTAGCTGATAACTCGATGTTGTCACATAGGAAATCACACTTCATCGTTCCAGTCATAAACAGGACTTAGTTGACATTCAGTGCTATCATACTGAATTCCCTCACTCAAATCTATCATATACTGCACATATATATGAATAATCAATAGAAATGGTTTTTAATATCGCCTTCGCATGATGTACTTTGCTTTGATCACATATTCGTATGTCCTTGGTCAAATGCCTGGATGTGGGGATAAATATAAATCCCTACTTCCTACTCAATCATTGGAATTTAATACTAACCGCCCATGCAAACATACCTGGTTTAGATACGATTATAAAAAACAATGTGTGAATAATTCTATTCATACGTTGGCTATTGTCAGTCTCATCCTCTACAGTTTCAAAATGTAAGTATTCACTCTTATTCTTCTTGCCATCATCTGGTCTGACGCTGTCGATTTTGTCACGATTTCTTCTAGTTTATTAAGTTCTGATGGGCAACGCGAGCTAGAAATTTACGAAGCATTTGTACTAAAAGAAAGACCAAAGACGAAAGAACCCGATTAACAGAATAATAAGAATCGGAAAAATGGAATTGTTAACACTATCGTTAATTACAATAACAAAATTTCTATTCGCCAAAACTATCTGACGAATATCAGGGATGGTTATGCTAATGGAAGTCATGTTAATAAAACGATTCACAAATTAATAGCTCAGCATGAAAATAGACCACCAAAGCTTCACCGATCATAGCGAGATTTGGTTACTGGATTGAGCATTCTATAGTCCTTTGACCTCAAATTCAGATATAATGGTGTAATATGAGTAACAAATCATTGAATTGAATGTATGAAAAGATTAAAAGAACGCGTGTGAGAAAAAAGTGTGACATAACTTTTCAAATTTTCAAATCTTTATGTTCTATACAGATAACAACTAATTTATACAAAAAAGAAATATTCTAAATGCCTTTACTTGGGATGTGGACGTGGGAGTCACTGAAGAGTGAGTCTATCCGCAAATCTACACCCATCCACACTCATAGCTGCCCCAGAGTGCTCTCTGTCGGATGGCGAAAACCACAAGTCGCACTATCATTTTGTTCTCAAGTTATTGAGAAAACGATCGCACGCACGGACTTGTTTATGGCAGTTCATCAAAGCACAGAGTTTGGCAAAAAGAAAATAATATAATCGATAAAATGCCATTATATATAAGGTACTAAATATACGACAGTGAGCCTCCGTAAATGATAACTTATAAATTAATATTGGATCTAATCAGACTGCTAATATTACATGTTACACTAGAATATCTTTACCATAATCAAAAGATAAAATGAAATCAAAATAAGTGCTTATATACTTGTAATAAGAAGTTAGTCACAATATCGAGTTTTTTCACGATAACGATTGCACTTTAAGCATGTCACAAACGGTCTTAGACGATTCTCGAGGACTGAAAAACATGTTGTTGTACTCTTCGTAACATTTTGCTATGGTTTCACATTCCAAACCGTATTCTTCGAGCGTGTAGCTGTTACGTCCTTGCTTGCCCTGATGATTGTCTTGAAGCCAAGCAAGCATGGCTAACTCCAAGTCCTCCGACCACGTAAGTCGAAAGTGTTCATAGATTCGACGAACAGTATCGATCGGTTGTGCAATAAGATCTTCATAGAGTATATCAAGAACAGGAGTATGTTGATTTGTACGGCGAAATTCGACTAATCTACCAATGAAAGTATCTATCACTTGTAAAAATAGTGCCACCACCATATTTCTATCCGTAGCCAAGTCGGACTTGTTGCTATCAAAATAGGCGCTGGTATATGTTATTCCCAAGCGGGCACATGATGGTAACACCTCATCAAGTCGACGGTGAGTCATACTTAGTGAGGCTGTTGGATAGTGGCGCACTAAAGTATCAAGTGAAACCAAATGGATTGGAGATTTTAAAAGCCAGTGAGAGCTGGGTTGATCTACACTGTTCAACATATGTAAAAACATCTTGTGATAATCGTAGGCAGAATCTTTATTTATGGTATTCAAGAACCATTTAAAAAATTCGCAATCTTTATGCGGTACGAGCATAGTGTTGAGCCATAGGAGACCAACATGACCAAAAATATGGAGATCTTCATCGTAAGCAAAAGTAGGACGAGAAGCCTGTGTCTCTTTTTCGTAATCAATCAGTCCCAGTGCTTTCAACATTTCACTGTATGCAACTGCGTTCATATTGCGTTTCATCTGCCCAGCGGTGTCGGAACGAAATGAGCGGTGGAATTGGTTCCATCATATCAAAAAAGAGTGGTGCTCGACATGCTGGATCACAAGCTAGTAAATTGTAAAGGAGTGTTGTGCCCGTACGAGGTAAGCCACATATGATGATTGGATGAGGCATTAGATTTGTTGCTACTTTGAGTTCAGGATGCGCAGCTACATAGTTGAGCACTTTCTTATAGTTCGAGTAATTTTGGTCTAGCATCAGACAAGACAGATGGCGACCAATGGGTGACAAACGATTGTTGGCGAATACACTCTGAGCATTGATTTGAAATGCATTGAGGATCTCCGTATGATTACTAAATTGTTTCTTCGCTTCTTCGCTAAGATCATCTTCAGTTAGATTGACTTCTGTGCGAAGAACTGATGAAGTGGTGCAACTGCATGGAATCTCGACAGGTACACTACCTTGTATTTCTTCTTCCATCTGTTTGAGAAACCTATATGATAGTTGCAAATATTCGTTTTGTCTTCTTTTTCTATTTCTCAACAAAATACGAGATATACTCTGTCTGTACACATTTGCTGTTACGAGTTAACTGTATGCAATTGCCAGTCTGTAACTGCATGCAATCACGGTGCAAACAATTTTAAGCTTCAGCAGGCAATTATTTTCAACTTCTTTTATTTGATCGGAGAGATCTCGTTGAGTTGGATAGAAAGACATCTGATCCTGAGTATTTATGTCTATTTTCGGAAACAAGATACGAAACTAGCGCTTAGATGAGACGCAACCAATTTGCAGAATTGTTCGATTCGCAACCTTCACGCGTAACTATCTACTAAGAACTAGATTTCATCATAGGAAAGAAAATTCGATTGAATATTCGCGAAAAGGCCAGTAAAATGGATAGGGGATCAGAAGAAAAACGAACCATGTTACATATCCGTCAAATCCTCGCCACTACGACACAAACGAATTGTTATTCGATGATATTTATCACTCCATCTATGAAAAAAAATCATCTATCTATTTTCAATTGCTTAATGTCTGCAATAAGAAAATCCGGTTTTTGACTGTTGCGCTCTTTATTTCTCTAACCAGTCAAGATCCTGAAGGTACTATCCTAATGGTTATGGCTCTCGATGAAAGTAAAAGGAAGAGAATGACGTACGGGTGAGGTGATCCTCTCCATTTTTGAGAATTTTAAAGACGTTGTATCTGGGAAACTTTTTGAGATGGTTTGTTTGTCAGCATTTTGGCAGACAGTCTGCCAGTAGAATTTGAGTTGCTGGCTTTAAAAGCCGATGTTCGATGTGTCATCAAGACGAAAAGAGCTGTCTGAGAAAGCTTCAGCGCTGTCTACCCAACATTTTAGTCCACCTTACTTTTGAAAACAAGTGTTTGTAAACACGTGTGATGGGAAAAATCATATAGACGGTGTATAGAGTACACTCATCTACCGTACACACTCGTGAGCAAACAAAAAGAAAATATTTTTTTGTCGAAGTTAGTCTCATTACATGATGA